AGCAATGCCTTGGCTGTGAGTCTGATTTATGGCTCCCAGGGCTGCCAGGTCCTCATCCCCAGGAGCTTTGGCGCTGCTTTGGCCACTGCACACTCCTGGGCCAGTCTGGGGAGGGAGGGACACAGATGCTGCCCAGAGATCTCACTGGACACGCTCACTCCAGCTCATGGATCATCCCAAATATCCATCTCCAATGTGGTCCTGAGGAGGACATCACTGAACTACAGACTGGTTTGTGTAGGAAGAGACTTTAAAAGTCATCCAGTTCCACAGGCAAGGAGCCCTCCACTAGCACAAGTGTGTGCTGGTTTTGCTCCCATCCAGCCTGGCCTTGGCCACTTCCAGGATGGGGCAGCCACCTGGGCAACCTGTGCCAGGGCCTCCCCACCCTCACAGGGAGGGATTTCTGCCTAATATTCATTCTAAAGCTGTCAGCTTTTAGTGTAAAAGTGCCCCCCCTTGTCCTTTCCTCACCTCTCCCCTGCTCCCCCCGGGCTGGACCATCTCCCCACACTCCAGTTGCTGCCCTGGGATCCTTTCCACTCCCTCCTTCCTGAGGGCTCAGCATCCTCAACGGGTGCTTCAGAGGCAATCAAAAATTGCTATTTTTTGCCTCTGGGAGAATTCAGCAGCAATTCAGAGAAGAGCCTGGGATTTGGGCCATCTGCATCCTGTCACACATGGCTTCACTGAGTCCCTAAATCATCCCGTGCCTCAGTTTCCCACCTTTATATAGCTGAGAGGCCATTCCTTGAGTTGTCCTACTCTGTATCCTCCCTCTGGAAACCCTCTGGGTCAGAGGCTGCCTCTTGGGGTGGGGATTGGCTGCAATCCTGGCTGCAGAAATGCAATTTTTGGGTATCCCGCTGGAGCTGAGGTATCTGCCCGCAGCAGGGATGCTCCTACCCTCACACAGAGTGAGGGCTGGGCTCCCCTCAATCAGTCTCTTGGCACAGCAGTTTGCTTCCTCCTTTTTGAAGTGCAGACTGTGGGTTTCCAGTAGCCTGAATGCCCTGATTTTGGAAGGAGCTCAGTGAAGCCAGGAATGGAGCAAGTGCCCTGTGGAGCTCAGAGGGAAGGAGGAGAGAAGGTCCCACCAGCCAGGCTGGGTGCAGGGGTGGCAGGAGGGACTGGTGGCCTTTGGAGAGGTGGGGTTATCCCCCAGCATCCCAGACACTCCTGGAACCAGGAGGGCTTTGCAGACCCTGAGTCACTCCAGCCTTTAAAAACCCAGCAGTGCCCATATCAATGGCAGGCCCAGAGGATGAGGAGCCTCCAAAGCCCTCCCAAGTGCTGCTTCCAGTTGCATTCCCCTCCCTTTCCCCTCCAGTCTCACAGAAAATCTTCTCCACCTCCTTCTTGGCCCCTTCAGAGCCCACAGGGAGTGCAGAGCTCCAGGAGAGCCCTGCAGCAGGGACAGAGCACCGATGGGTGCTCAGTGGGCTGGGGGACACCAGGCAGGCAGCTCCATCCCTTCCCCTGGCCCTGCCCCAGGAGAGGGAGGTGCTGGGGCTCAGGGGGCAGTAGATCCATCCAGGGAAGTAGATCCATCAGCACTGCTCCAGCCTCAGGAGCCCTGCTCCCATTGCACCTCCTTTCACCTCCCCCAAAATTTCCCCCTCCGCACTTTGGAAAGGGCAAAGGTCTGGAGTGCAGCTGAGGCACAGGAAGGTTCGGTGGGTCCTGGTGGGATGTGGCAGGGCAGATGGAAAACCAGCCGCCTTCCCTGAAACTGGGAGCCAGGTGGGAAGCACCTCCTCAGTTTGGTGAGCCCCAGAGCTGGCCGGTGGTCAGTGTGAGGCCAGGAGGGATCAGCAAGCTCCCAGCAAAGCTGTCCCTTCCAGAGCCCATCCCAGGGCTCCAGGGGCCTGTCCCCACCTTGGGACAGCCCAGCTGGGTGGGGGCAGCAGAGGCAGAGCGCCCTGTCCCCCGTGGAACAGGATGGAGGAGCCGCAGAGTTGCCATGGAGATGTTCTCCCTAGCAGATGCTCTGGGCAGGTGCAAGAAGAGGCTCTGCCCCCCTCGCTGTGCGGCACAATGCCAGCCGGATCCTGCAGGGACAGGGAGCCTGTGCCACCGCCCGCTGCCACCGCTGCCACCGCTGCCAGCCCAAGGGCCACTGCTGTCACCGCTGCCACTGCAGCCACCGCTGCCACCGCTGTAACCACTGCCACCGCTGCCACCACTGCCACCAGCACCACCAGCCCCCCTGCCCACACCCGTGTGGGGAAACTGAGTCACCTCCCAAAGGCACCCCGAGCTCCTGGCCTCACCTCCCCCAGCATGTGTGACAATGGCACTTCTGGGGTGTTTCCAGCCGCCCCTCTCACTGCCTGCTCTGGCTGTCACCCATTGCCTCCTCCCTGAGCAGAGAGGTCACACACAGCATTACCCAAAACATGGCCCTGGGCACCGCAAGGTCCACGTGGACAGTCAGCACATGCCAGCCTCCCCAGCCTGTCCCAGGACTGGCGGGGCACTGTTGGCCCCGGGGAGTGCCACAGGACATCCATTGGATAAGTGATGCCATCCCAGGGCTGTGCTGCTGGGGACAGGCACTCCATCGCTCTGAACCCACCCCAGAGCACCCAGCCCTCCATCTTTCCTGCTGCTCCCACACTTCCTCTTCTCACCCTGATCCTTCCAACTACTCATAAAATCATGGAATATCCAGAGTTGGAAGGAACCCACGAGGATCATCAAGTCCAACCCCTGGCCCTGTACAGGACACTGCAGCAATCCCACCATGTTCCAGAGAGTGTTACATCACTTCTCTTTAAAACCACCCTCTGAAGTCTGCCTAAAAATCCCCTTTCCCTGGGTTTTCCCCAAATGCCTCAAGCCCCACATCATCATTAGGGGCAGCCAGAGCGTGGCTCCTGCAGCAGGTCCCTGTGAGGATCAGTCTCCACTCGGGCTCTGCCCAGCCTTGTTCCCACTCTGTGCTGCCGCTTGCGAGGCGGTCGAGGAGCAGTGGGAGGGTTTGGGAGCGACACCCCCACAATCAAAAGCTGCTCTATCCAGCCGGGCCCAGCGTTCCCGTTCCCGTGGTGAGCGGAGCCGCCGCCTTGTGTACCTAACGCCGGGGCTGCGTTTGCAAACACGCCGGGGTCACTCTCCGCTTGTGCGGCGGATAATGGAGGCAGTGTTTGCGCACATTTCGGCACTATCGCGGAAATAACAGCGGCCCCGCTCCTCCTGCAGCTGCACGGCCACCACGCCACCTCCCACGGGCACCTGGGGCACCGCAGGCCTGGCCCCCAGCTCCATTTTTGGGTCGGTTCTCTTCCCAAAAATCCATAGGCATTGCGGGAGGTGGGATTCCGCTGGGGCTCCTGGCAGCCCAGGGCTGTTGGACCTCTTGCTGCTGCACTTGGTTAGCCACGGCAGCGAGTGGCACTTGCACCCTAAGGGACAGGGTCTGGGGGTGGCAGTGCTGCCTGGGTGTCCCTCAGGGCTGTAGTGTCCTGAAGGGACACTCCCAGGGAGCAGAGGGCAGCAGGGGTACCTGGTGTCATGCTGGGTGGCGTTGGGGGTGCTGGGGTGGCAGCAGTGCTGTGGGGTGCTGTGTGTTGGTGCAGGGCAGTGCTGTGGGACAGGACAGGCTGGCACAGTCCCCCGGTGCCCTGCATGGCACTGCCCAGTTTGGGCTGGTGTGGTGCTGACTGACACTGTGCCTCTTCAGCACCTCATTCAGTGTGGAACACCCAACTGGGTGCAGCAGGGTGCTGTCCAGAATGGTGCCCAGTATGGTTTTGTGCCAGCTTAAGTGTCTGGTTCGGTGTCATCATAGCTGTGCCTGATGTGGTGCCTGGTTTGGTGCCCAGGCCAGCACTGCTGCTGCAGTACCTGGTCCTTTGCCCAGTCCATGTCTGGTCTGGTGCCTGGTGCAGTACCCAGAGCAGCAGTTCCCAGGCAGTGCCCACTGCAGCCTGGCCCAGATCTTTGCCTGGCTTGGTACCCAGTTCCGTGCTCACTGCAGCAGTGCCTGGCATAGTGCCCAGTTCTGTGCCTGGTTCCATGCCCACTTGTTTGCCCAGTCCAGTGCCCAGTCTGGTCCCCGGTTCAGTGCCTGGTCCTGAGCTTGGTTCCCTATCTGCTCCAGTGTCTGGTTGCTTGCCCAGCCTGGTACCTGGTTCAGTGCCAGTTCAGTGAGCGATTGTTTGCTCTGCCTGGTACCTGGTTGTTTGCCCCATTGATTTCCCAGCCCATTGCTTGGTTGTTTGCCTGGTCTGCCTCCAAGTCCAGTGCCCAGTCTGGTGCCCGGCTGTTTGTCCTGTTCCGTTTCTGATCTGGTGCCCTGTTCAGTGCCCGCTCCAGTGCCTGGCTGTTTGCCCTGAACTGTACCCTTTCCAATGCCCGGCTCTTTGCCCTGCTGAGTGCCCTCTCTGGTGCCCAGCTGTTTGCCCTGTTCAGTGCCTGCTCTGGTGCCCTGTTTAGTGCCCCGCTCAGTGCCCGTTCTGGTGCCCGGCTGTTTGTCTAGTTCAGTGCCCACTCCAGTGCCCTGGGCAGTACCCGCTCCAGTGTCCGGCTGTTTGCCACGCTCAGTGCTCACTCCGGTGCCCTGTTTAGTGCCCTGCTCAGTGCCTGTTCTGGTGCCTGGCTGTTTGTCTGGTTCAGTGCCCGCTCTGTTGCCCTGAGCAGTGCCCTGTTCAGTGCCCGCTCCGGTGCCCCGCTGTTTGCCCCGCTCAGTGCCTGCTGCGGTGCCCTGTTTAGTGCCCCGCTCAGTGCCCACTCCGGTGCCCGTTTGCCCCGCTCAGTGCCCGCTGCGGTGCCCTGTTTAATGCCCCGCTCAGTGCCCGTTCCGGTGGCTGTTTGCCCCGCTCAGTGCCCACTCCGGTGCCCCGTTTGCCCCGCTCAGTGCCCGCTGCGGTGCCCTCCCGCCGCCCCGCCGAGCGGCTCCGCGGCCGGTGCGGTCCGTTCCGGCTCTTCGGGGCAGCGCGGCGCGGGCGGCGCCAGGCGGGTGCGCGGTGCCACCGGCGGGTCCCCGGGCCGCCGCCGCCCGACATTGGCTGGAAACTGGAGCAGCGCGGCGGGGACGGTCGATGCCGATCGATCGCGGCGCGGGCGGCACCGCACGGCACGGCACCGCACGGCTCCGCACGGCACCGGCACCGCGGTGTCCCCGCCGGGGCTGCGCGGCCCCCCGGGACCGGCACCGGGCAGGGGGTGAAGGTGTGAGCCCGTCCCGGGGGGTTCTACCGGCACCGGAGACCCGCGGGACTCCGGGAGTTCCGCCGGGTGATGCTGCCCGGTCCCCGTGTCCTTGTGGGGCGGTGGGACGGGGACAGGCGGTGTCACCCCAGGGCCACCCCTTCGCCCTCCGCGGTCCTTCCTCCTGCTGGAGGGAGCAGCTGGGACATCTCCCTTGCGGTGTCTCCCCGCAAGTTCTGGAGCTGGATCTGTCCTTCCCAGCGGCCCCACTCCGCGGGCAGCCCCGTCCCGTTGTCCCCATCACTGGGTACAAAGAGCTCCGGGACCGGCCAGCGGCGCTGTGCCCGCACAGACCCGCACACTCCCCGCACCCGCAGCAGCTCCGAGCCTCTGCCCTTCCCGCAGCTGCCGAGGGCTGTGCTCCGGATGCTGCTCCCGGGCTGCTGCACGGGGGACGGTGCCCAAAGTTTCCTTCCTAGCAGCAGGAAAAGCTTTTTTTAATCGAGGAAAGCGGCGCGGCGGCCTCGCAGCGCTCATGCGTGGCGGGCAGCGCGGCTCAGCGCTCCCGGCCGCCCGCAGGGATGGCTCCATGTGTCCCTGTCCTTTATCTTTCCCAGCCAGCGCCGCATTTGCAGGGCCAGGGATGCGGTGATGGGGTACAGCGGCGGACACGGACACAGCATCAGCATCTCTCCTGCCCCGGGCTGGGGATCCGCCGGAATCCTGCGCTGCGGGATGCCCGGTCCCTGCTGGAGCACGGAGAGCTGCTTTTTGCCGAGTTTGCCGTTAATTAATGGCAGAAGGAGCTGACGGGGCGGCTCGGCAGCGCTCAGGAAGGGGGTCAGCCCTGGAGCTGGCACTTCTGCACGGATATCCCCTGCCCACAGCGTCTGAAGTCGCACCAAAGTTTCGCCAGGTTTTGCTCTTGTTTGACAGTGATTTCAATAATAATGCTGGAGGGTCCTGTGGCGGCAGGAGTCCCGAGGAGCTGAGCATCCCCTGGGGAGGGGCGGAGTGGGGGGCGGCATGTAAATCCAGGAGATTGTGAAGATTTGGTAAGAAAAAAAAAACAAAACAAACAAAAAAAAAAAACCACCAAAAAAAACGGCTGAATAAAATGCGAAACCGTGCTCCTGGATTTGCTCTCCGCGGCTTTTTCCCCCGTGGAATTAGCAGGCGTCTGGGGAGGAGGTCACGGCTCTGTGCGTCAGGGCAGGCGTGGGCCTCATTTATAATTTTTCCCTAATTTATTTTTTCTTAAGACTAAAAATTCCTTTATTTGGCAACTCCTGCATGAATCAAGTTAGCATTTCACAGCTATTTAACACCTGGTTACAGCGTCTGCGGCAGAACCGCTGATACCCCGGCTCGGCACCCGCTCCGCGTAGCGGGACCGGCCCCTTCCCGCAGGCGGGGACCAGCCGGGTTTATTTTTCCTCCGTTCCAGGCAGGGATTTAAGGCAGGAGGTGCTTTGCGTGACTGAGTCGGGGTTTCTCCGGGCCCTGGCCGGCGGAATGAACCCCCAGCTCTCCCCTCCGCCCTCCCCCAGCGCCGCCCCTCGCCCCGTCCAGCTGCCATTCCGCTCGGGTGGGAATCGACTCAAGTCCTTAAACCCCAAGAGTTAATCAAAGTGCTTTGAATATGTAAATGCTGAGTATTGTTTATCATTGCCTAGAGCTGATACAGCAGTTTTCCTGCTCAAAGCCCCGTTCAGATGGGAGCTCATGAAAATTCACAGCAGCCTCGCAAATAGGTGACGGGGATTATTACCCCCGTCTTCCAAAGGAGCAAAGGGAGGAAGAGCAGCGGAGCGATGCTCCCGTGGCAGCGGGAATCGGCGATGGAGGTCAGCGGTGCTCCATCCCCATAGGTTAAATCAGCTCTTGCTGCATTTCCTCTGGCCAAGCCTTTGCCCTGGGCTGTCTGGGCTGCAGCCGGTGCTGGCGATTCAGCCCTCGATGGTCGGGTGTGACACTCGCTTAAATATACACCGTGTTGGCACCAGGCAGGGAATTCCAGGCAGGCAACACACAATTTTCCATGAGGTTCTTCGGCAAGACCTCCAGCAATGAGCGCTCTGTCAATTAATACAACAATGAGCTTGACGAGGATCTGTGGGAGCTCAGGGGGGCGAGGGCGAGGGAGAGGAGTCTGCGTGCCATGGGAAGGGGCAAATCGGTCTGTGGGACTCGACAGGACTCCCTGGGCACAGACATCCCTGCCAGGATGGGGAGAAGGAGCTCCCATCACTGAGCTCCTCCAGGTAAGGGCACTCTAGAGGGGAGCATGGGGCAGGAGACCCCAGCGCACCCCAAACCCATCCGCACCCCAAGAGCTCATCCCACGGTGCTTCCCACCACATTCCTGCCAGTCAACCTGTTGACACCAATGCCTGGAAGAGCTTTTGCCCTCAGCCCGAGCTGAGTGCCTCTGCATCCAAGGAGATGCCCCAGTTTTGGGTTCCTCTTGTGCAGGGCAGCTGACCCTGGAGGTTCAGGGCAGCCTCCAGCCTCGTGAGCCGTGCCTGTGGCAGAGCTGCCAACCTCAGGGGAGGCTGGGGGACAGCTGGGAGCAGGACGTGTCTCAGCCAGCCAAATTTAATCCTCCTACGTTAGCAAGGCTTAAAATAGGCTCCCTGCAGCATCGATGAGGGTGGTGGAGTTGGCCTACTCCAGCCCTCCCAAGTATTTTGGGGAAGCAGGGATGGCTGTTTTGCAGACAAGCACAGCTGGGAGGAACTGAGCTGTGCTGTCAGGGCCTCCTTTGCTGAAGCCATTCCAGGAATTAAACACACCTTGTGGTACCCTCACCCCTCTCACCTCCCAGTGCCACCTCTCAGGGTGACACCTTCTCCCTTGCCATTCCTCCACAGCCCTTTCCTGCTCTCTCCCATGGACATTCATTTTCCCCTGCACTCATGGAAATGATCCCTTTTGGTTAAGCCCAGCTTATGGTCTGGTCTTGACCCCCCTTCCATCAGCTGCCCAGAGGAGATGCCATCCTGAGAAGTGGTTGGCCAGGACATGGCCTGGGCAGAAAGCCATGGAGGAGCCCTCGGAGCAAGGCAGGTGTGGTGACACTCTCGAGGAGACATGCTGGCAACTCTGGGACACTGTTCCACGTCCCAGGTATGCTGGCTGTCTCCTCAGTGCTGGCTGCCCCCTGGCCAGGGGCACCCAGGTTCCACTGCCTGGGGCAGGTCCCAGCAGCTCCCTGGGCAGGGCAGGATGGTGGCTCCAGGAGAAAAAGTTCCTCCTGCACATCACCCCCAGGGCCCCACCCCGGGCTGGGGGATGCAGGGGCCTGGTCTGTGTGTTGGTGGCTCCAGGGGACCAAACTTTGGTGGGGTTTGGAGGCTCCTGGGCAAACGCTGCTCCTGATCCAGCAGTGCCTTTGGCAGCGCCCGTGGTCATTGGTGCAGCTCAGTCACTGGTGCTTCATCCATCCCTCAGGCTCTGCCTTCCTCCTGCTGCTCCCTGCCACAACACCGGCTCTCCATCCCCTCCTGTCCCGAGGCACGGGCTCCCCTGGAGCTGTGCCTCACCCCGTGTTTGCCTTCCCATGGCCCTGTGGGTTTAAAGGAGCCGTTTTCCCTTTTCACCTTCCTCTGTGCAGCCTCTCCGTGGGCCCACGCACCAGCTGGGCCCCCCACCATGCCACTCCCCCCACCCTGCTGTGCTGCCTGATGCCTTCCTGCCTTCACCTGCTGGGGCCGGGCCCTGCACGGGAAGGCAGCGAGCACAAAAGAGGTGGGAGAAGCCTCATGTCCCTTTGTGATCCCTCCAGAACTGGTCTTCACCTCCCTGGTGGAGCCCTGAGTGAGCTGCCCATCTTCCCCATGAGCCACCCTGTGAGCAGGAGCAAAACTTCCTGAGGAAAGGGTGCAGAGACAAATTCCTGTGTTCTCCTGGCCTTTGCCAAGCTCCCTGAGCTGGGAGCACCACAGGGTTGCACCGAGCAGACACCCCAGTGTTCACCACTTTGCTTTTTCCTCCATGTCCCCAAAGGGTCCCCAAGGACCCTTTAGGACCCCTCCAGGCTGTTGGAATCCGTACTCATGTGCAGTCCAACCACACCCGCTCCCACCTGCATCCATCCCTGCCAGCACAACACAGTCCTGTGGGCACTGCTGGGGCTCAAAAAGCAAACAAACCCCCCAGTAAAGCCCTGGCTGTGCATCTCTGTGTGGAGGAAGGGTTTATCCTGAAGAAGTGGTGGCACATCCCTTGGCTGAGCTGGCAGGGCTGGCCATCCTCAGTGGTGACCATTCCTCCGTCCTTGCTGCAGCCCCGTGTCCCACCCCGAGGGCTCCCACAGCTGCACTCATGGACCATTGTCCTGCTTCTCCTGGATCTGGCAGCTCAGTGAGGGGGGAAAAGGAGTCTGCAGGGGATAGAGGGAGTTGGTGAGGGAAGATAAAGCATACAGAAACTCCCTGAAACATGGAAGAAACCGAAAAGGGAAGAGTGACAAAGAATAGGCGATGAGAGGCATTAGTGCATTGCTGAGGAGAATGGTGGATATTCCCATTTGTGCTCAGAAACCCACTGGGACACAACAGCTGTTGAGCTGCTGTCCCGAGACAATCCCAAAACATCAGCTTTGCCATCATCTGGACATGGGTACCAGCGGCAGCCACTCAGCTGGAGGCACACATGGAGCACCCATCGGGATGCTTGGAGGCACCTGGGAATCCACAGCACCCTGGGGCACGGGAAAAGAGGAGCATTTCCCATTTCCCATTTCACAGGTATTTTCAAGGACAGCTTTGCTCGGGACCTGGATAAATAGAAAATAGGAAGGAGAATGGGGTGCCCTGACTGAGCACGAGGGGCAGAGAGCAGCGTGGTTTGTGCCAGACCAAAATCACAAATTGGGTCTGGTCCGATGCAAGGAAATCCCGTTGTGCCGGAGCTCGGGGTGGCAGCGGGAAGGCGGCTGCCAGGACGGGCTTCTGCAAGACTTCCTCTGCCATGGCCTTCGTTAGGGAATTGGGACGTAAGGAGAGAAGGCAGCAGAGAGGAAAGGAGCCCGGGGAGCCGCCGCTGGGGGAGTTCGGGGCTCTGCCCTGGCCCTGTTTGCTCTGTTAGGGAGGGGAAGGACGGGCAGGCATGGCTCATGGCTGGGGGAGGCTGAGCACAGGGCGGGCGCCTGGAGCTGCCCCCAGGGTGCCCAGGGACAGCCAGGGCACCCCAGCAGCCAGGGCACCCCAGCAGCCAGGGCACCCCAGCAGCCAGGGCAGCAGGTGGGGGTGGGGAGAGAGAGAGCGTGGGGCTGGGGGGCAGCAGGAGCGGCGGGAGCAGTGGGAGCAGTGGGATCAGTGGGATAAATGGAGCAGTGGGAGCAGTGGGATCAATGGGAGCAGTGGGGTCAGTGGGAGCAGTGGGAGCACTGGGAGCACTGGGAGCAGTGGGATCAGTGGGATCAGTGGGATCAATGGGAGCAGCGGGAGCAGTGGGATCAATGGGAGCAGTGGGATCAGTGGGATAAATGGAGCAGTGGGAGCAGTGGGATAAATGGAGCAGTGGGAGCAGTGGGATAAATGGGATCAGTGGGATCAGTGGGATAAATGGAGCAGTGGGAGCAGTGGGATAAATGGAGCAGTGGGAGCAGTGGGATAAATGGGATCAGTGGAGCAGTGGGATCAGTGGGATCAATGGGAGCAGTGGGATCAATGGGAGCAGTGGGGTCAGTGGGATCACTGGGAGCAGTGGGATCAGTGGGATAAATGCGAGCAGTGGGAGCAGTGGGAGCAGTGGGGTCAGTGGGATCAGTGGGAGCAGTGGGATCAGTGGGATCAATGGGAGCAGTGGGATCAATGGGAGCAGTGGGAGCAGTGGGATCAATGGGAGCAGTGGGAGCAGTGGGATCAGTGGGATCAGTGGGATCAATGGGAGCAGTGGGGTCAGTGGGATAAATGGAGCAGTGGGAGCAGTGGGATAAATGGGATCAGTGGAGCAGTGGGATCAGTGGGATCAATGGGAGCAGTGGGATCAATGGGAGCAGTGGGGTCAGTGGGATCAGTGGGATCAATGGGAGCAGCGGGATCAGTGGGATCAGTGGGATCAATGGGAGCAGTGGGAGCAGCAGCACGTGGGGCTGCAGGCTCTATGCCATGGAGTGGAGGGTTGGGCACA